ACCTATGCTCTGATTTTTTTTTCATGAGTATATTGCTTATTGTTATCGCTTTACGATAGGTAAATTTTCCCTAATATAAAAATATCACTCTGCAAATCGGCAGCTTCTAGCATCTAAAAAATATAACAATGTGTATGTGCCAGTAAATTTTGACAGATCAAAAGCACTAAACTACAGTTAGTGCACTAAACTAACTGAAACATGATGTTCAGTTGATCAGAATTTTTGTTTTAAATTTTTCCAATAATTGGCAATAAAGTTTTGTTTTGATGACCGAAAAGTTATTCCTATTTCCAATTAAACACATATAATCTCATAGTGATAGCAATGTTTAACATATTAGGATTTTAATCATACAAAGCAGATCACTAGCTTTCATGCTAAAAAATAATGGTTGTTGAGTCAAAAGTTAATATACGTCGTTTGGTAGTCCCCTAATGCTACCTAAGTCAAAACGTATTTACCAGGATATTCGGGAGAATTATCAATCACGTCTTCTTACGTGCAGCCCATTCATCATTTTAGGACCACCGAAATCATATTAGCAACAAATAGTTCGATTTATTCACTTTAATTATGAGAAAGCGAAACGACGAACGTACACTTTTCACGGGTTTCTCTGCGCTGTTACTTAAGACAAACGGCGTTTCCTTAGAAATGGGGTGAATTAATTAACATCGAAAAATATTCTAATTACGACAAAAAGCAATTTGACTGGTAAATAAATTTTAAAAAATGGGATGTAATCCTATATTCGGACAGAATATAGTGTAATAGCAGGAGCATCGATTGACACTGATAGCTCGACTTTGTTTATCTTTGTTAATTTCGACGTAATGAAAATTTGCTCTTGATTTATAATAATAAATTGCCTACGTGTATGCCACTGGCAAAACTTCAAGCTACTAGCTCATGCATACATTTAGGAGCTAACGACGTTTATAATGAACAATTCCACACCTACTATTCCGTCAATTTCGTTTCAAACCGTTTCAAAGCGTTTGACTTCCTCCGTTGCAGGGCGGCCAGACCTACCGGTTTATTAATAGTAGTCCACCGATTTATGACTTGCCTGCCGATTCACAGACGATGAGTCAACCAAAACTACTTCGAGCAAGTCGAAACGACAACAAACTTTTTCATACAAGCGTTCATTTGAAAAAATGCTTCATTTCGACTTGAGATATTGTACTAAATTCTCGACTGAATTAACGATTTTTGGAGAACGCTATAATAAAGCAGCTTGATTGGAAATATTACTCTAATACTATACTAGAGGACTTCCCTAATAAAAATATCATACCCGAACGATTTAACCCAAATGATAGAACTATGCCACAAATGGTTTGAATGATACCCTTAGGCCCTGGCCCTGGAACACGTCGTTTAACAAAATTGGCGAATCAAAGCAAAGCCAAAACTGGTCATTCAGATCCACAATTACAAAAATGATGATGTTAAAAAAATGTCATGCAATTTGACAGATATCAAAACGTCATTACTATTTTCACTCGCTCGCCATCTAATACCATAGAGGTAACTCTAAGACCACTGGGTCCCGAAGAAAATCATTATTATTTTTGGCTCACTCAGTACCAGAACAACGGTCCCAAGCAGTCCCAAGCTATTTCACTCACCCCTGCATGTTCTGCATGAATCCACACACCCCTGATGTTATCTGTCAAACTTTCATAGCGAATCAAAACAAACATAGTGTAGTAATAGAATTTCAACTAGAATAGGGTACGTTAATCGTTTGCTTGGGACCAATAGGCTACTAAAGTGGTGAGCCAATTTAAAATCGTTAGTTTCGTATTGATTGTTGCTAATACCCCGTACAGACTACACGCTAACTCCAAAGTACCCATTAATGAGTAAAATTTTACCCATCTTGAAGAAAAGTGGCTTAACTCATGAAATGAGTAAAACCGTTTTTACTCATTAATGAGTATTTGATGAATACGCCAAAAAAGGGGTATTTTTTATCCATCTTTCTTTTTCTGTACATGAGTAAAAAGTACCCATTTTATTGAATTTGTTTTTGCTTCAGGGGGGGAGTCTGTGATCAAACCAATTGAAATACTAAAACAATGCAATCAAAACAATAATAATTATTACACTTTATTGCACGTAAGCACTTATCATAATCGTTGACCAATCGAGGCATAGTGTCCGTCTGGTAAAATCCATAAGAAAACGTCAGACTGTGCGTGAAACATGGCGGCCATCGTACTATCCTTTCACTCCACTGAAAATTCCTATGAAAAACTGAAATTATTTGCTAGCATAGAGGATTTTTCAATGGTGCCGTCAACGCCAGTATTCAGTTCAGATCACTGGTGGGAGGGATGCTGCTCTTCGAGCAGGTTTGGCCCTTCCACATGTGTACTTCATTTACTTTTTCGAAGATCTTCACTAACCTGAAAGGTACATGTTTTAAGAATGGTTTAATGTTCTTCCTAGTTGCACTTTTTATCCTTACCTCGTAAAAGTCTGTACCAGATCGAGACCAGGAATCCTGCTTTCTCTGAAAGTAAAAAAGAATAATTTAACTCCCAGCCGCACAATTATTTTCAAATTAACTTGTTTACCTCAATCAACACCTGCTGGAACGAATCTGTTAATTCGAATCGATTTTTTACTGATCAACGAACGCAAAATTCACGAATGTGTGAACGTCAAACTAGCTGTTTTAACATGCATATTTTTATCCATTTTAATTGCACGGGATACTTTAAAAAATGGGGAAAAAGTACCCGCTTTTGGATTTTTAAAAATACCCATTTTTTGACAGTTTTGAATAATTTCAAAAAATGAGTACAAGATACTCATTTAATGAATACTTTCAGGTTAGCGTGCACGGTATGTTTTTATATTGAATAAAATAATTTGGCCACCCTGGTTCAAATGAACAAACTGTCAAAGCAAAGATGGTGTAGAAAATATATCGGCTAGTGTTGGTGATTTTTACAAATTTTCGCAACAAATATTGAAAATTATCGGTTTTACAAATTGTTTTTACCAATAAACGGAACCCTGGTACAACTATGGACACCTGTCGCCTCTGTGCAGCGGTAGTAACGGACAGCACATCGATATTCTCCTGCCGGCACGGGAAAAGTCTCGCCGAAATGGTTCGGTTCGTATCGACCGTTGAGGTGAGGATTTTTTGTTTTGTTTACTTTCATAAAATGAGTTGATCTATTAACCAATTTCCAGATCAAAGAAAATGATCTTCTAACCAGCTTGGTATGTACTGACTGTGTAGAGCTGACGGTGGATGCGTTCCATTATGTAAACAGGGTTCGTAAAGTGGACGGAAATCTTCGAAAATGTTTGCCAGAAGTGGTCAAAGAAATTCCCAATGAAACAGAATTGGAACCACCAGATGAAGGCGTTGATAATAACTTGAATACTATGGAAATTGCACATGAAAGCGACGTCTCGCTTGGTGATGCTATGCAGACGGAAGCTGTTGAAAGATCATCTGCAGAAGATGATGCACAACTAGATTTGGATCAAATTTCTATTGAATACTTGGAAGATGAACCCGAATCTGCATCCAAAAAACTGATCAGTCTCCTTATAGAATCTGTCAACGATTTGGGCTCGGAGAAGTGGTATAAAATCAAACAGGATCCGCAATATGCAGATGTTCTTGATGAAGAAGCAGACAAACAATCGGAGGAGGATGATGAAGACGACGACGACGTTGATGAAGAAAAGGACACTTCTGACGAGGAAAGTTTCGTATATGTTGAACCGAAGCATGTAGATTATAGTCCTAAAATTGACGGAGAAGAGCAAATGGTGCGATGCTGCAGCCGTAAATGTAGACTTGCTTTCAAATCACGCGACGAACTTGTAGAGCATGGTTCTGAAGCTCACAGTAGAGATCGATTGGTCGTCAACGTGAAACATCCATTTGAATGCATAATCTGCTTCCAAAGGTTCGAAACTCGTAGGAATCTCCTGTGCCATTTGCGACGGCTAGTGCGCGACTATCGGTGTCATTTTTGTAACATCTACTTCGATGCTCCTCGGGACAGGAACCGTCACATGAAATCGAACCATTCGAACATGACAAGAATCGTGCCAAGTTATCGGCTTGAGGACCAACCATTGAAGATTTGCTGTGGGTGTGAGTCTAGCTTTGAAACGATCGAAGAACTATATCAGCACGGAGCTGACCATCACCAAAATGAAGTGACATTTCCAGACCTCGATCAGGGATGTCAATGCAACATTTGCTACAAATTCTTCAAAACGAAAGCAAGCCTCCGGAACCACCAGATTCTGGTGTACAAACCGAAAACCTTCTCATGTCCTACCTGCGGCAAAGCATTCGAATGTCCCTCGAAGCTGTCCAATCACGAAACGACTCACCGAACAGAGCGAAACTTTGCTTGTTCGGTTTGTGGAGGCACCTACAAAACGGCAACCGATCTCCGGGGACATCAAAGGATCCACCAGGAAAAGCATCTGGTTTGCAACGTATGTGATGCACGGTTCCATAAAAAATCTCAACTACGATCGCACCTAAAGACACACGACGATAATGCGTTCGAGTTCCCTTGCAGTATGTGCCCAAAGAAATTCAAAGAGAAATCCAACTGGAAAAGCCACCTGAAAGTCCACACCAAGGAGAAGCCATACAAGTGTGAGTACTGCCCGAAGGAGTTCCGGTACGCGACCGACCGGAAGCGACACGAAATGAGCCACACGGGAAACTATCCGCACAATTGTACGCTCTGTGGAAAGGCATTCGCCCGTGGCAACCAGCTGCAGGCGCACAAGCGTATTTGCGATAAGTTGCGGGAAAAATAGATGAAGGTAAGTTTTTGAACGAATCTTTTATGGTGATGATTTGCGCCGAAATTCCCTAACGATTGTTTTTGTCTCGGACATTCTATAGAAGTTTTTAAATAGTTTGAAGAGATAGTTTTCACCGTTACTGGCTTATTAGGAGAAAAACAAAATTTCGCAGAAAAATCGCACAATCGGTTTTTATTATCTTCAATAAACCTAACCCCTCAAATCGGATCATCCCTCACCGGACCCTCCTGACAGTGCGCCACGTGTTTTTCGTAGGTCGTTTTCCGAGCAAACTTCTTCGAACAGGAACACTCGAACGGATAGTTGCCGGTATGGGTCATCTCGTGTCGTTTCCGGTCGCTACAGTAGCCAAAGCTGCGCTTGCAAAAACTACAAGGATAAGGCTTCTGCTTCGAGTGCACCTTGAAGTGCTCCTTGAGATGGGAATTATTTTTGAACTTTTTTGGACACTCGGAACAAGCGTAGAAGAACGTGTTCTGATGTTTTCTCATGTGCATCTTCAGATTAGATTTACGATGGAATTTCAGCCCACAGACGCTGCATATTTCTCGTTTCTCCTCGTGTAGCAGTAGGTGGCTCTTGAGATCTATGTCCTTTTTGAACGATTTGTCACACTTGTCACACCGAAAGTTGCGCTTGTTCGAGTGCACCAACTGATGGGTTAGCAGTTTAGAACGAGTGTCGAAAGCTCGAACACAAACTTTGCAAACGAAATTCTTAGGCCTGTACACAAACCGCTGGTGAATCCTTAAACTTTCGAACGTCCGGAACAGCTTGTAGCAAATGTCACACTGAAACGGCCTTGTTTCATCCGTAGCACCTTTTCGTATTGAATGGACTTCTTCGCTATGATTTCGAAGATCCTTCACGCTCTCAAACTCTTCATGACATCCACAACAAATCCTTTGGGACGATTGTTTTTCCGCTGCTGGGGCTAACTCTCCATGAACTTGGTGCATGTGGAGTCGTTTTTCTTTAAGCGAAAAGAAAATTTGCATGCAGATTGTGCAGTGCTGCAATTTTCTAGTATGCATTGTAAGACTCTTTTCGGAACTAAAACGAGCGTAGCAGCGATGGCATTCGTAGGATTTTTCCTTCGATTCAGGTTCTCGCAAGGGCAAATGAACTTCAGTTGAGTGTTCCGTCAGCTCTTGAATACTATTAAAAACAGCCCTACAGCGGATCCCACAACATATGACATGCTTCACACCGTCAACCATTAGCGATCCTTGTAAGGATTCCTTCTCTGTTTCATCATGTACAAATTCAGTTTCTTCGATTGCATCTGAAAAATCATCCCTGAAGTTATCGTCTAAATATTCCACCAGGTATTGATCTTCCCTGTTATCATCTTCATTTTCTTCGCAATGCTCATCGAAGCATTCCTGTTTCACTTGAGCTGACGGGACATCAACTTCAAGCTTATCGTCACTTGGTTTCTGATGTAGCTGATCCCTCAATTCTATCAAGTCCATTTCCTCGTCCAACTCGGATATCTCATATTGTACGGATTCCTGGAATGAACTCGCCGTTTCTGCTGCTTCAGTTTCAGTCGCTTCTGTCCTTTCGACGACTTGCTGATCGTGCATCGAATCACTTTCAGTTGGAGAATGTTCTCTTGGTATATCCTCCTCCTCTTCAGCAACAGACTCGATTTGTGGATCATCTTCCACGGCATCCCTAACTTCGGGAGGTCCATTGTCTCCAGGGTCTACGGTTTCGTCTTCTTCGTATCTAAAAAAAATAAGTATAATAATTATTCACGTTCCATGCAATAAATCCAATTAATTCGTTCATACTCCTCTTTAAAATTGGCTTGAGCTGTTCGCAATTCGGCATCGGACCGGCGACACTTGTTGACAAATAGGTACGCATTCAGTGCTTCATCTGCACATCTTCCGCAGGCGTCTCCCGGAAGTTCATCGTCCTCGGATATCTTCAACGGTTCAAACCAAAATTATCAGAACGTTCTCAATCCTCAAACTCGATTGATATACCTACCTCAACACGGGCGCAGAACCGAACTATTTCAGCCAATTTGGTACCCCTTCGTTTCGCAAACAGTGAGACACAGTTTTGCTCATACCGCAAGCAAATGCGGCATTCTTTAGACGTCATTTTTATTAGATTGTTTGTGGAAAGGTATTTAAATTTCTGAAAACACACCCAAAATTGGAAGAACTCGCGAAGAGAAAATAAGACTTTTGTTTATACCAATTTTGAATGACAGAACCGAGGGGTGATACACGGTAATCACAACAAACTCTCTTATGACTATAAAGTACGCTCTTTCTTTGGAAAATGGGACTACCCAATAAAGGAGTATACTGTTTTTACTCTCTTTTGCGTAAATTGAATGTACGTCAGAATCTGCATACTTTTTACACCACATAGTAAACTTAAAAATGCGTAGTTTTGACACCCCGAACAAAGTATAAATGCGTAATTTATACTCCCACATGCATAGTTAAATGCATAGTTTTTACATTGAAAAAAAAAATATACCTACGATAAAACAAATTTTGTATTTCAAGTTCGTTTCAAATATTGAATGAAAATGCATAAGAATTTTAACAGTAATATTTATTTATTTATTTATTTAATTAAATCAATCGTCAAAACAGTTACACCAATCCATCGAATCAGCGGTGCTGCCAACTCCTCCTCGACTCCCAATGGCATCACATTTGGCGGTTTTTTAACGCCTTTTCTGGACAGTTGTCCCATGATTCGGAGGCATCCCCGCATAAGCGCGAACCATAAACTGACCTTACCGATAATGGTTATAAATTGTTTATAATCCCTGCTAAACTTCAACTGAAATGGTTATGGAACTTTACATGAACGTTTAATGATAAAGTTTTAACCTTAAGGATTATAGTTTTTTGGAAGTGGACCTTACAAATAATGGGTTGTTAAGAACCATTACCATTCCAAATTCTTGTTTTCTCCATACATTTTCGGAAAGAAAACTTTACTAAAACCTTTTAACTTATGGTTTAATAACATTAATGGTAATGGTTATGGTAACCAGTAAGGTCCATGAATGGTTTTGTAACATCGATCAACTTTATGTGGAATATATCGCGAATTGGTTGCCTGTAAATTACTGATTACCAATTCACGATATATTTCACATAAAGTTGAGTGATAATACAAAATCATTAATGGACCTTACTGACTACCATAACCATAACCATTAATGTTCTCAAACCATAAGTAAAAACGTTCTAATATAGTTCTCTTTCCGAAAATGTATGGAGAAAACAAGAATTTGGAATGGTAATGGTTCTTAACAACCCATTATTTGTAAGGTCCGCTTCCAAAAAACCATAACACATAAGGTTAAAACTTTATCACACAAACGTTCATGTAAGGTTCCATAACCATTTCAGTTGAAGTTTAGCAGGGATTATAAACAATTTATAACCATTATCGGTAAGGTCATGCGATGGTTCGCGTTTATGCGGGTCCGCAGACATGATCTACATTTAGATGAAAATTAAATTTAACACGTAATGAATACTCGATGTCCTTTTTTATTCGATTAAAAATTTGTATTTGGTTAACAATAAAAGTAAATGCTTTAATTACCTGCCAGTGTCGTGAATACGTCCTGTTCCAAAGTGGACAATTCCTCCATTTTCCGCTGACCCACCGCAGAAATAATCCGGGACCGGGAACTGAATTAAAAAGCTGCTTTTCCAATGAAAGCTGTTTTGAAAATGGCGGCACGTCGCGGCATAAATTTTCTTTTCTCAGCGGGGACTACTTTTTACACATTTTTGTTCGTCGTTGACATACTCGGAAATGCATAAAAAGTACTCTTCATTTATAACTAAAATCTAAACATTTTTTGACGTATAAACCGTATTCTCGAAAATGTGTAAAACATAGTCATAAAATGAGTATTCTAGAATTACCGTGTAGGCCGCTGAAATATTTCTGTTACACGGAGAAACGAAACAACTCAAAATCATTCCATATCAACCCTAATAAATTTGTTATGGTTATTTTGCTAACGACGTGTTCGGGGTATGATCCAAATCATCTGTGGAATAGTTCTATTATGTGGGTTATCGTTTATGATAATTTTTTTATTAGGGACGTAATTAAAAATCCCGTCTACCTTTGACAACGCAGCAGCAGCAAAATAACGTTGGAATAATGATTACTTTCCTATTTTATATCGTAGGAAGGAGTTTTGTCAACGCCGGCGAATGCTGCAAATACAATCCGAAGCTGTCGAAGTGGAATGAAGACGATGAGTTATGACACCGCTTCGTATTTTGATTTGCGCTGTACTGTTCGCTCAGTGGTGTGGGTTCGTACATGCATAGATGTTGGTGTGCGTGTTTTCTTCCAACGCTGCAGTTCAACCTTGTCTCGTTACAAACCGTATATGGCGCTGTTATCTGTATCTATAAATTCTAAATAGTGAAAGGGGTCTGATCGAGCTCTTCGTTGTGCAGTTTTGGTTTTGTTTTGTTTTGTTCCGTGCGCAAAAATTCAAAATGAAGTGCAAAACAAAACTTTGCAACAATGAATCGAGGAGTGGTTTGCGCAATATTTCTTTCTTCCGTTTTCCGCGAAATAAATCGGAATGTGAAGTGTGGAAAGCATTTTGTGCTCATAATATTACAATACTTCCCACCGCAAAAAAAAAAAACACCATGATGACGTCATGCTCGTTACGCTACACTAACTGAGAGTTCCTTTGGCTTCATTCTGGGGTTGCGACACATCTAAATATCAATTTTAGATGGTCGGAAAATCTCACGTTAGCTAATCAATCTACGAAAAATCTTTTTTCATCTCTTGCATAAATTCATCTACTTGTATCGCTCTCCATATTTTTGCAGGAAATCTTCAAAATTTCCATCAATCTTCTTTCTATATACAAAGCGTGCTCGCATCTCACAACTTACAGCAAAGTGAAATTTTTCCTGCTTCTTAGATAGAGTCACCCTTGTAAAAAAAAAACCATAGAGGTACAATGAAATGTATTGTAACCATGCAATACAATTTATTGCATTTACAATAAATCGTATTGCCCAAAACTATGAAAACAACCATAGAATTTATTGTTTCCACAATATAATCTATGGTAAATGGGAAAATTTACAATAGAACAAAGGGGTTGCTATGTATGTTAACCGTACAAAAAAATCACTTTTTACCGAATAAACTTGAGCCATTTATCATGAATTTTATTTTTTTCCTAATGTTGAAAATTCATACTAGGGGAAATGGCTCTAATGTTGGCCTATGGATCTAAGATTGGGCCCATCGCTAAAAATCTGCTATTTATCAACTTTATCTAGACGAACGTGTAATTGGGAAGGTACGAATGGATCACGGAACTTAATATGGACCAACAGGTCTGTGCCATGAAAAGGGAGGATCACGGAACCAAATTTTGTTCATTTAAATCAAAAATATATATGTTCATTTTATAAAAATAGAAATAGTTCAAAGTATATTGAAAACACGTTTTCAACAAAAATATGTGACGATGATGATAATGATGATGGTCCCACCTCTTACCCCTGTATGTTTGATTTAAATTCAAAAGCTCGTTTATTTCAGTAATCATATTCTGGGTAAACAATTTTCAGCGTATTCTTTTTTCCTTGTTTACATAGGGAGCTGCACCGTCGTCCTATTCAGGGGAAACATGTCAGAAGGGTCTAACTCGAAACGTAAACAATGACTTGGATCGTCGGTTTCTTACGAATGACAAAACGATTTGACGGAAACGTGCACTTTTATCACACTTTTTGCATTTTTGGGACAGTCCAGTTTCAGATGCAATCAGCAATACCTTTTGGCAAATTTCTATTGCTTATTATTCATAAAATGTATAAGTCAACTAATAAGCAGGTGCCTTGCAAAAAGTTAATGAAGATCTTGTGTCAAATGAAATGTATAAGGGGTCACACATACCTTTTATGCTGAGTGGTGCGAAGACGGACCTCAAAATCGAACCACTTTCGAGCTGTCAAATCGAACCACTTTTTTATCATTGTGGTTCGTTGAAATAGATAGAAGTATTGTTATCGTCCAAAATAAAAAAATAAATATTTTTCAGTAATGTTTTTGATCTTTTTAAAAACGTGATTCGAAACGACTCAAACAATTAAAAATAACAGTATTATTGCGTATTTTGGACCAAAGTAGACTCCTGCGCTGAAAAAAAACCCTCCGATTTTTTTTCGCTCAGGAACGACTGTGACTTCGGAGAACGTTCTAAGGAGATTTGTGATGATAGTACAAAAGTTCCAGGAAATTTCAACAGATTTTTCCCGCGACAGAAGAGGTTTCAGTGGATATTTTAGTTGCTGCCAGCGAGGTTCTACGGGGGTTCTGTAGAGTTTTCATGTTCGAGTTTCACACGATTTGGAGAGAAGTCAAATCGTTGCCATTGGAGGTCCCAGGGAATTTCGACAGCACTTCCACTGAATAGGCTTCGCTTTTCGTCGTGTCCATCTTTATAATTGCAAAAGTGAGCAAAACACTTCATTCTGAATTTTATTCCACTCCGTAAAAACTCCAGCTATGAACAATGTTAACAATCAATCACAAAGTCACGAATCGGCTCTGCACAAAAAGCCGTTTGACACTTCTCTCTACCAACCGACGGTGATGAAACGTTTATTTCAACACTACCAACATGAAGAAAATTTCACTTCGCACCACTCAGCTTTTATGCATTCTTATAGAACCTATGTGGTTTGTCTCGAGGTTTGTCTTACGAAATGTATAAGGATGATGTTTTGGCAAAAATGTATAAGTGAAACACTTGAATAAAATAATTGATTTTCGTTTCGTGTATAAAAATGGTTTATGCGTGCCATAGTATAAAATCGTAATATATTTACGATGCATAGATACTGTTTATTCGAGAGAATTTAATTTTCGCTTCTTTATTTTATTTATGGTAAATATTATTGTTTAAAAAAAAATTAAGTTTGTCTCAGGAAGGTTTTTTAATTATTTTATTTTTTATGAATATTATTAAAAAAAAAATACTTACAATTTCGATGTTCATTAGGATGAACTCGTGCTCACGCAGTCTAGCCCAGTAGATCACAGGCGCTGTAGAAATCCGCCGGGACGAAGCTCTTCACCAGAACGAAGCTCTTCACCAGAACGAAGCTCCGAAGAGAATCCAGATGTTATTTTTTCTATCATTTTAGTAAACACTGATTGAATTCCACTCTGTTATTCCAAACTTAGTATAATTTTGACAAAAATTTTAATCGATCCAATGTATACATTTTGGAAAACCATAAAATGCTTAAAATTTAATTCGACAGTGAGCATGCATAAGCGAGGGGCAGACCACTCATGTATTTTCGTTTCATCCAAACGTATTGGGGAATCGTATTGACGCGTATTGATGATTTGAAATGCATTAATGTCATTTTGTGTAATAATTAGTATTTTACGTAATCGCGATTATTTATTTGTAGAATATGCACTAAACGTGTAATGATCGAAATTTAATCGAAGATTTCCTCCACGTCCTGAACTACCTCCCAAGCTATTCGATGAAGGAGGATTGTTGATCACCTCATTAATTCGACGGCACCACTCATCATCCTTGTCAGCCTTCGGTTCCTGCATCCAGAAGAATAACCTACGACTGGAACTCTTGAACTTCAACAAGAAAACCCGCCCAGTCTTGACGTTCTCAATCTTCTTGAACTCGCAATCATCCGGAAATACGATAAAATCATCCTCAACATTGCCAATCGTACGATCCTTCCAGCAGAAATGAATCAATCCATTGGTCGCCTGGTTCACGTACAAGCCTTATCCGGATGTACCATTTTGTTGCCAAGGTTCATCATTCCTTTAACCAGATGATGGTTTCCCCTCTGGTTTCCCCCGGAAGTACCCCAAGGGCACTGCTACTACTGAAAATTGGTCCACTCATATCTTCAGTTTTCTCGAACGATTCCTAATAATCGCTTTCTTTCGCAGTTGCAAACAAAGAACTCATAACCTCGGATTCCGCAGTGTTTGAACGGGAATTTTCGCTTTAGAATCGTTGCTCAATAATAAAATTAGTAATAGTAATTCTTTCTTTGTGATGTTGCGGTTTGCTGTTCTGCCTACTGCATTTTCATTCAAAGATTGCTCCTATTTCCGATTGACACCACCTAGCATGAATATTCAAATTTACGACGTTCTTCGAAAAAAAATATCCCTACTTATTTCTTAGCAAATTTTTACTTCTCTGTCTGCCTCATTCCGGTAGGTACGGATAGTTCCCCTACGGTTCTGATTATGGTTTATTAGTAGCATAGAGTAAAATCAGGAGTAAAATCTTTCGTACCAGATTATCAAGTGTACACACACAAAAAAATGGAACTCCTCGGAAAACGGTTTGTTCGAATCTCCCGCATAAAAAATAACCATAAGAAGCGCCTAACCACCAATTCGGGATATCATCCCAACTTTAAGTGGTATGCTCGCAGCATCTATGATATCGTTAGTGTATGGTACCCGTTTATTAGGGCTATCCTGTCATTTGATCATCATCCTTTTTCATCGGTTTTAGTTACCACCACGGGCATTCCCTTCCTTGCTAGCGGTTTCGGCGCGCTCCGAGGATGACGATATGCTCTTGTCCGCATCGGTGTTAGTTTTGTGGGCATTCTCCAAAGCTTTGATGAACTGTTCCAAATCGCCACTGTTGACTGCTTCCACGGCTTCCGTGTTCAGCTGAAATCGAGGCTGAAATTGCGATACGAACGGTCCCAGCTGTCCCTATTGCAGGGCATTAGAAAACATGGACAGCGCTTGTTGGAATTGCGGCTAGAAATACACGAAGATCAGATGAGCGACTCATCGACCCGAGCAAGCAGCTTAGTCCTCCCATCGGACCAATGCCTGCTAAAATCACCTATGCGGGTGTTCCATTCACTTTAAAAGCTCGCATGAAAATCCTGGAGGTTCAAAGCGTATTGGCGTGTATTGAAGTCTCGACTGACGTATTACAAACCCTAATAAACAGGTACCATACTCTAACGATATCATAGATGGTACGACTATCCCACATAAAGTTGGGATGATATCCCGAATTGGTGGTTAGGCGCTTCTTATGGTTATTGTTTATGTAGGAAAGCATTACTGATTTATTGATGCATTGACATATTAGTGGCGTATTTGCCTAAAATAAGGTATTTTTGGGAATTTAAATTGAATTGAAATTGTATACTGCATTTTAATGCATTTCATGTGTATTGATGTAATATGTATATTTGATAATGCATTGGCAACTTTTCGAGTATTAACAGATTTTTAAGTATTTTTTAAGAAAACGTATTTTTGATTCAGCACACCACATATTGATTTGCCCCTCGTGCATAAGGGCCTATACGCGATGATCGATTCTCTTCGTCGATTGTCTCTTTCGTTAATAACTCGCTAGATTGAACGTTTATCGGTGCGTTTGCTGTTGCTTTTGATAACCAATACAACCTGTTACTACTCTGCATTGAACAAATTCTAGAAAATTGTTCGCTTAGCTGTAGCAATGCAAAGAGAAAATCGATGAATCGCCCTTATCATGCTCACTGTCGAATTTATATTCGTTTTGTAATATTTTTGAGTCGTAGTTAGTACCTGTCATTTCATTTTCCTCTGTTCCTAGGAGGAGGAAAAGGGATGAGGGACAGTCACAAGCAAGGTGATTACATATAGGTGTTCTAATGTGTCAAATTCATGATTCAGCCATGTTGGATTTTTATATGGGACAGCGACCAAGTTTGTTTACAATTTGCTTAAAACTGCACTCCCCCCCCCCCCCCCCCCAGACCCGTGACCTCCTCGCCTATAGACTTCTCTGACGTTTGTGAATTGCACAAGTATTAGTGCAGTACTTTGGGTTAATTCAAAGGTTTTCTTGCACTTATACTTATAATTTACCCAAAGTTCTGCACTAATACTTGTGCAATTCACAAACGTCAGAGAAGTCTACAGGCGAGGAGGTAGGATACTTGTGCATTTCACAAACGTCAGAAAAGTCTAAATAGTGACAAAGCTATATCACCATTTATATACCCACCATGGTCACAAGATCAATAGATGTATTGACCTTTTTGACGTTTAATCATCTTTCTGTATCTAGCACACATGGATGAATGGACGGTTTGTTTTCCCACTAATCTGTTTCCCTCTTGCTCGCACTCGTTCGCTTTAAATGATGCAGTAGTATGCGCCGATTAAACGTCAAAAAGCTCTATAGTTTTATTTGCTGAATGTTTCAGCATCTTTATTTTGCTGGATAATTTGCTGATCTAGATTTTCATAAAGCCCAAAGTCAGCAAAATTTTGTTGATTTTCAGCAGTTTAAATTCGTTTTTTAAATCAGAAAAGCGAGTTTCTGGTAGCCTTATTTGCTGTTTTGTTTTGATTCTGCGTTCCGTTACGCTTCGTTCCATTTTGTTTTTTGACGTTGGATAACGTCTTTCGGCAACACACGGGGGTACAAAATTGAAAACAGTAATTTTGGATGCGTTACGGAAAATTAACAGATTTTGAACGATAATAACTCAACCGTCTCTCGATAGATTTACGAGATAATGGCATCAATCGATTGGAAATATTTCTAGCAATTTGCTGATTGTTTCAAAACTATTGATTTCATTCTGTAAAATATTGAAAAATGGTTAAAAGTAAACCATTGTCTAAAGACGGTGAAAATCGATTGATTTTTTTATATTCTTATACTTTCTCCAACCGAGACATCAGATGCGAGTATCTGACATCTCTGATATTTTCTGTTCTACTATATAAGCGTCCAACAAGGTCGCCCGTTCCATCATTGTCAACAACATCAGCCCAACAAAACGGCCCTTTTCAGGGCCACCAAACTTTCGCAAAAGAGTTATTAAGGAATATTCCTAAAATATAATATACACAATTAAGTACAACACATAACAGACGTTATCCAACGCCAACCCTGCGGTCGTATCTAGTATACAACCCTTCCAACTTTTTTTTTCCATTCCATGTGCTAAAAGACGTTTGAGAATTTTTTAATTTGCACGGCATGCAGATTAGCGGAGTTCAAACTGAAAAGTGTTCAGATTAAAAACGACCAGATTACCGGAGGTCCACTGTATAAGTAAAACTTAGTCAAAGCTTACGAAGAAAATTCCCTTATCTTATTATTTTTGAGTGTATAGGTAATAAGGCAACATTTTCGGGATTTATTTTTATGTTTTTCACAATTTTGAACTCAGAAAAAAACGTTTATCTTCTCGATAAAAATCTTTCTGATCGGTTTTAATTCTAATCGGACTTGGCGTTATTTGCAAGTCCACCCAGCCCGTATGGAGCAACTACCGCACAATGTGAAAGCCACGACGAGGTTCGAGGCAGTGCTCCTGTGTGTGCGTGAAATAGCTCATGAACTGGCTACTCTTGCAGGTGGAAAAATTGTAGTCGTCGTCAGTCGAGCGAGATTCTTATACGCGGTTCTGCACTGCATTTCCAGCTTCGGGACAAGTGAAAAAGTGATTTTAAGCTGAATTTGGGGATTCCAACGGGAAAAAATATTCGACGCAACAATCGAAGATCCAGTCCGATCGGAACTCGTTCGAGAATTGAGTGCGCGGAGTGTGCAAAAAGTTTTATGTGCAAAAGAAAGTTTGCTGGACGAAGCGAAAATTTTCTGGTTCTGCTGCGTGTCGAAGAAAGAAAAAAACGAGATGTCCTTTGATTTGTGATAAAATAGTAATGGTGGTCAACAGAAGTGAGTGAATCGAACCAGTTTTGCTTCCAAGGCGAAAATCAGGTTTTCGCGTTGAGCAAAAAATCAAAAAGCGTTGCAAAATGCGTTTCAGATTAAATTCTGGCTAAGCTACCACTAGTGAGAGAAAAAAAAGTGCAAAGTGTGTCTGGTTCCGTACTGGTTTCCGCCAGGGAAAAGCAGTTTTTCGTGGCACTCTACGCGAGAGTCTCAACCAGTTAACCACCTTGGCAGCAGCTTTTTGCCACTTATTGGACAACAGTAAACCGTCGTCAACGGATTGGAGGGCAGAGCGCTAGTATTAGGAACCACATCTTGGTCTTCGATAAAATTTGAGTTTGCTTGTCCCGTTCCGGATAGGACTGGACACGTCCCATAGGATCTCGGTTAGAAGGAGGTAAGAGGTCGTTTTCGGCTGCGTGTAATTCTTTTTTTTTTCTTTTTCAAATGGGCAGAGCTAGCAGAAAATGGTTTCAGTACTACTACTTGCGTGCTTATGTGAGTGTGAGTGGTAACAGTCCATTCGTATAGACACTCTAACACACGCACACTATTGCTTTGTGCGAATTTTGATTACTGCTTTATATTTTGATACCGACAACAGGAAAACATTACTGTACATTCCGGGAGCACCAAGAGAAAAAAATGAAGAGAATTCAAGTTAATCGTAAATAAAAGATATCATTGTCATGATATATTAATTCACTCCAATAAAAAAAAAAAGATCAGTATATTGGTACAATTGAATTATACCTAGTACATACATAATAATCTGGTTTTCAAAGCTAATCAACGGAAGTGAAGCATCCCATATTGAGGACGTGCATCTTGATGAAACAGGGACATAGAATACTTGCAATGAAATTCAACGTGCTAACATCTGAAAACAAACTCTGACACTCAAAACAAAACCTTGGCAAAATGCTGACCTTAGGTCAATGCTTACACGTGTATCAAATTCAGAGAGAGGTAAGAGCTAAACCCCGGAATACATCGGTGCTGTGGACATATAAAAAATAATGGAAAAGAGTTCTGTCAATGCAGCGTAATTAAAAGTTAGTGCTTTGGAGAAAAAAATATAAAAATTACCCCCGTGAACGCACAACTCTTTCATCATCAAATTCAGTTTTAGTAACGCACCAAAACCATGAGTGCTATGAACTCGCCAGAAATAGAATGCTGTAAAGAGAACCAGAAATAAAGTGTTGAAAACGTACTAAAAAAATGGTTAACACAAAAACCCTTTAAGATATTATTTGGAGTTATAAATGTCATGTGATGTGAATCGAACCCACCATCAGTGCAAGGATTACCAATGTCTGCAGATACTTTACCTTACATTATTTCGTGTTATAAATGTACAAAAACTCGTCGGAAATTGTATGGAAATTGTATTACAAATGCTTTGAAAAAAAGCAGTATTAAGCCGGAAGCGGTGGGTTAGATTCCCGGTCCAGTTATAAAAATCTATTTAGTTTGAAATTGGTGGTGGTTGATAAATGTGGAGATAAGGCAAAGAACACTAAGATGGGAGCAAACAAAACGGTCGTGTAGATTGCGTCAAAAGCCAGGATCAAACAGAATCTAATTCAAAATGGTTTCCACTGGATGCAAAAAATCGCCAGTCCCGACAGTCATATTGTTCAATTTTAACTAGCTTTAATCAAAGAAAAGTGTCGCCACATGCATCAAGCCCGCTTCAATAACATGGCGAATTGAAATAAAGTTTGACCGTTTGTTATCGAAAGATGGTCATGTGCGAAAGTCCTATTTAAGGAATGATTAAGTACTTCTGGTGAATGACATTTCGACACCTGAGGCCGAAGTTGGGAGTATTGGTGATATAGAGGCAAAACCGTTTCATCGCTCATAAATTTATGAATCGGCTATTGGCTTGTTGGAGGATAAATTTAATGTAGTTCAGGTCAATCAATCTACGTCAACGACAGAGTTGAAGAAATTCGTCAAATTCACAGTAGTTCAGAATGTACTTCTACCATGTTAGTAGAGCAACCTTCACCCCGAGTTAGTAGCAGTTGAAATTCAGATGAAGTAAACAAAAACTCAATGAATTAGAATAATAGTCAACTCATATAAGATGATGATTTGGTGGAAGAATGGCAACTGTAGGGACGAGAGTCCCCATAGAGGAATTGCCTCGATCATATGTATTCTAGATAGTTTGCATATGAAAAGATCATCATCAAGCAACCAAAGGATGCCTCCATATTATGCAAAAAATGTTAGATATTGCTCTCACTTCACTTGCTAGAATCATACATGTCAACAAGCAATCGAAAAGTCATGATTTGGCTCTGTACGCAAATAAGTTTGGCTATCTTCCTCTTGGATCGACAGAGTTCAGAACACAGGATTTCCGGATTGTCGAGGATTTAGCCGAATCTGCCAAAGTTTGTGGCAGCTGGTAAAATGCCGCTTGCAATCCTAACGCCAAGCGCAGTTGGACTGGTCTCGAATTATACACCGATGTCAACCGGAAATCGTCAGACGATCAAATATATTTCAATGATAGCTGAAAGCCGTCTGGTGTTCAAGCTCTTTCCAATCGGTGTTCAAGCCGTACTCGATGTCAGCCAAAAACCGTCCGGAGTTTAAAACTTTCTCGATGACAGCTGGAACATGTCCAGTGATTAAGTCATTGTCCGGTGGTTAAACCTTTCCCGATGTCAACTGGAAAGCGTCCAGTGCTTTAGTCGCATCAAATGCAAACCAGAACCCGTTCGGTGTTCAAACCGGTATCGATGTCAACTGAAATCCACTCAGTTTTAAAGCCAATTCCGGAGTCAAGTGCGCCCGTTTCGGTACCGACCCTGGAGAAACAATTCACAGGACATGAGATGCTTTATCACAATTTCACCAATATTTTTTCAAAGCCTAAACTGGAGGAGCTAGTAACAGAGAATCTCTCCATGTAAAATCTAGTCAGTAAAAACCGAAGGTATTAATAATACCCATTTTCAGAGCCTAGTCAACCCAGAAAAGACGTCCACAGCGTATAACGCGGCCCAATTAACGCCAGAAAAGAGCTTTATACCGTTCTTCGATTGACCCTGTTAGTACAGAAGGTATAACCATAGACTAACACTAAGACCAGGGGTCCTGAAGTAACATGCTCAATATTTAGGCTCAGGAAGTACCAGACCTTTGGTCCCAAGCTAATTGAAGTACCGATCAAAAAAATCCACGGAACCCTCATTAAACTCTGTCAAATATATAAGGCGAATCAACACAAGAAGAATGATCCAAAGTTCCTGCAGGGAGAAAAGTACCATCCGAATATGCTCCACACTAGATGCTATCAGAACTGAAAGTAATTATCATCAACCGGTTGTGAGAATCGAAATTTTCCCACTTTGCTCCAGATTCAGTAGCTTCCGCAAGATCTAAAGCATTATTTGGTTCGTCCTGCGATTCGTTGGTAACTGCCGAATGAAGGACCTAGCCAAAAAAAACAGCACCTGACCATCCCGGAGCTGCACCATGTAACCGAAACTGGCATCCACGTGGTTCAGCTTGTTCCAAGGGTGTAGCCAGGTTTCGAGCTAAGAAGGGGCGAAAAAAATTACTATGGAAAATTTGGCCGAACGCCAGTTTACCGAACGCCATTTCACCGAAAGCCTTTGTGTTGCTGAGTTGCTCTCTGCCCCCCCCCCCCTCTGGCTACGCCTATGGCTTGTTCTGTTGGCAGACGAGACTCAGTGAGTTGTTGCCCACGACCCTTGTAAGACATTAGCAAATTAGCATCCATTCTACACTGATGGCCTATTAGTGGTATCCAGCCTGATCACCGCTACCTTCCTGGCATCCCCTGTAGTGTTTCATTGGATGACGAGGAAAGGTTCAACAGCTACACTTGAATAATGCAACTGAGTTCCGAGGTGCCCATCACAAACTAAACACCCTAAAACCAAAGAAGAAGAACCTTCAAACCATGCAGAACATCTATGAGAACTTGGTTGTACTACAAGACGATCTACACCAGGCCCCACTCATCTGCAGAAGTTGAGTCGCACCACAGCCGTTTATCCTGACGACAACGGTTTAGTCATAATTGTGAATTTTGGATGTTTTTTATGACTTGGGTAATCATGATGGTCTGCTTTAGCTAAGTATAAAAAAAATATTACTAGACCTGGCTAACTTTGGAATTAATCCAAGCCGATATCACTCAAAATTAGAAATTATATTTAGAACTACCTAGTTCTAAATATAATTTCTAATTTTGAGTGATATCTGCTAGATCTGGCTAACTTTGGAATTAATCCAAGCCGATATCACTCAAAATTAGAAATTATATTTAGAACTAGGCATAACATTTTCTGTAGAGAATCTTTTTACGACTATTATGTAAGTCAAGTCAAGCGTCATTTGTGATTACTGCTACATAATACGGTCCTATTTTCAAGCTAGAAACGTCAACTATCGATCTGGGCGGGCTGCCCGAGCAAAGTTGGAGATCAAAATGAAATCAAAATTTGCTGTTATGATGTAACTTATTTTGAATACTCCAGTTGATCTCATTTTGATTGACTTAACTTAACAGCAAAAATAAGAGCAAACTTTTACACTGTTGAATCAAACGGAAAACTAATCTTGCTCTCAAAGATATCAATTTGATTTTTGATTTGGCATTCATAATGTTTAACTGAATACGGACCTGGCGAAAATCGTTAGCATCCATGCTTCTCACGTTGAAAGGCTTGAGCTCAAATCTCACCCCGGGCAAGTAACGAATGTTCTAAATTGTGTTAAACTAAACAAATAAACAATAATCGTTAGTTAAACGACAAATGAGCTTAAATTAAATTTTAAACAAGACGTTAACAGCAGAACTTCAAGTTAAGTTGCTTTCATTTAAAAAGTCTTGACTGTATAATGGAAGCACAATATGATATCAGACTAATGTCGTGACAATTGAAATCAAAATAAGTTTTCATTATGATAGGAACTGCAAACATTAATATCGATTTGCTTTCATTTTGTTTACCAGCTGTGCTCGGGTGGGCAGAATGATCAGCATAAAATAAAGCAATCCGTTTTTGTTACCGTGGAATACAAGAAAAAACAACGAACGTATTGCCATCCAAACATTACTATTACCATCCATTTACATGATTTTAGAATTGAAATAACAAAGATTGATTGATCATAAAACAAGAAATAAACCAAAACGCACAAGAAAAATGGCAGATTAATTTTCTGCTTCCTGACAGGTACTCTGAATACGTACAGATAGTTGACGCGAAAGTCATGTAAATTTATAGCAGATGCCGCAGAGAATTACTTGCGCAGCGTAAAATTCAGATATAAGTAGTAGCATTTTACACGATGTCATGTAATTTGCAATGATTAGTGAGATACACTTCATATGCGCGA